AACTACCACTACATTCAATATTCTAAGTGTACAACTCTCAACTACCACTACATTCAATATTCTAAGTGTACAATTCTCAACTTGCACATTGATTATTATGGAGGGAAACTAGAGTACTGTACCATATAAGCTACAGTATAAAAGACAAGCATCACATCATCATGCTTGTCTATTGTACCTTTATTTCCCCAACAATTAATGATTCAAAAACCTCTTTGCTTGGACAGCTCAATCTTTCTCCGCTGCATATTATTTTCCATTGCTTTTTAATACATTTACTCAGTATTTTGTCAGTGCTTTGTTAAATAGTCTTTTATCCCTGCTTTTTAATAATCAACAAATTTGCTTTTTCTTTGATAATTGACATTAAGGACATTGGTGGGCAAATGAAGTTTCAATCAAAATTTTTTAAACATGGCTTAAGCATACCACAACATATTCTTGTTCAAGAAATGAAATGCCAGGGTCACTGAATACATTTTTCATGTGTAACCTTAGTATCAAAGAAACACAATCCACAACCACTAAAATTCATGACTTTCTTTACAATTTACCAGCATGTGAGTAGGAGTTAGTGATAAGGATATATGACACATAAATCCTTGTGATGCAGTCAAAATGCATAGAATATAAGTTCATTAACAGGTAGATTTTTCTGTAAATTTGGTGTTAATTCTTCCTTCGCAATCAGATTCTTTTTAGATTAACATACGTTGTAGATTTTTTGTAGTTTCAAGCAGAAATTCCATGTTATGAACATTTCGTGTAATAAGGTACAGTTGTACAAAGATTAAATCAAAATTAAGTCTACATACCTTGGTCTGTTTTCAAAGATTAAAGCTGTTGTAGAACTAGGTACAGCAGAGGTTGATCTCTTCAGGGATAAAAACTTTGGTTTTCTTGAAGATGATGATTGTTCCCCTAGCGATCTTCTGTTTACATCATCTACATGTATGAAAAATTCATATAAACTTAACAATATAATAATCGAAAACAAACTTGTTATTAACATTGCCTAGACTTATGCTCCTTTTAACAGCACAGACTCATTTATTAGTGTTTGCCTTATCATAATATATTTTTCTATAATCTCACTACAATTCCTGATTTATTCATGCTATAATAATTATACAGCTTCTCATTAATCCCATATAGGTAACTGTCCAATTATTTTCTTAATTGGACAGGTCTTGTTGATATGGGATTAATTAGGCAACTATATAATTAAAAGGTAATGGGGTTTCATGCTCCCCAATCAAGAAATAATTAGACTCGAAAAATTCCTCTGACTGCAAAATTGGACTCGGCCTAAGGCCTCATCCAATTTTGTCAGTCCTTGGAATTTTCCTCGTCCAATTATTTCTTAATTGGACAGCATGGAGTCCTATTACATATACTTATTGCTGTACAATAATAAAATTCACTTAGTCATTTTAATTTTTAATTTTTTAACTCTTGGATATATGAAGCATAGAATTCGAAACGAGTTAGCATGTGGGGTCTGAATATGCAAATGTGTCACTCGCTCACTCACTAGCAGATCAATAATTAATTGTTTATCAATTGTCTTACGTTATCTGCTTATAAATGTTACACAAAACTATTAAATAAAATAAGAAAATAGGCTCCTAAACTAGAGAATACTCTAAAGGAACATAAGAAGTATAAAAAGGAATATTTAAATTTCTTTAATGAGAATGAACTAAAGATAATTCTTTTATGGCATTCACGATGATCCTTAGTTTATCAGATGCAACATCAACGTCAGGATATGATGTACACTAAGGATGGTGCCTACTATTGTCCACATGCACAAATTGAAAATTTACCATTTATTAATAACTAGGTGTGCAATTATAGTTTTGAAAATCTTTCTTTGATCGCTTAACACTTCTATCATGAAAGTCTTTTACTTTGGAGTTTTCAATCTAAAAAATCATCTTATTACGTACCAAATGTTTCAGAAATTCCTTTCTGCATTGAAGTAAAAAGTCAATAATAACTTTACTTCTAACCCAATAGTCTTCCTGGAAGTGTATAAAGCTTGATTATAAAATTAATGTTGATTTTTTTCTGTGTTTTTTTCTTCTTGCATGACAGGAAGCATCATGCTTTAGCTTAACTTACAAACGCACCAAAAACAGAGTTTGTCACACTGTTTTGCATGCTGTGTAATGCTTGTCATGCATTTGGTATAAGATTTATCCCTAATAATATTCTTTAAAAATTCCTATGGCCTAAAAACGCCTGATACCACTATTTTTTCTTTGTTTAAATCATAAAGTAAATGCCAAATGTAAATGGTTTTTAAAAGAATATAGACACAATCTCTACTGTATGTACAGTATCTAATGATCACAAAATAGGAAGCATGAAGCTAAGAAATTATATATTTTATAACCAACTATTAGAGTCATGGTAGTAGGGGTATATTTTAGTAGAAACAAAGTGTCTGTCATTTAGGAGGGTTTAGAATGGAAATTTATCAAAATCTTTTGAAAAAAAATTTTTTTTCTGGTGTTAATAAAATCATGACGTCATCACTTTTTAACAATTATTAAGCTTCATTATTATTTTTAAATGCAAGTGTTCTCAGGGATTCGTTCACAGTATGGTGCATCTTAAATTAAAAAGCTTGGAAAAAATTCATTTTCTAATATCAATATTTATATGAATATTGTTGTAAGTCCAAATTAACATACAGTACACAGTATGTACATGATGTATTGTTAATATCTTTGTTTAGACTAATTTCTGTACATTATGAATGGGCAATAGGTTCAATGAGAATTGACCATGCTTATTACATGTAGCTTACCTCTTGAGAAATAATTTGAACTTTGAGACTCGGATGTTTCTTTGGGAGGAACTTTACCAAACAATTTCCAACCAACTTTTGTTTGATTTTTCTCAATTCCAGAGTCAGAAAAGAGTTCCCTACAAGATAAGTTAAAATTTTCAAAGCTAAAAATTAATGTCAATAATTGATTTTTTAAATTCTACTAGCATTAAAAGTGTACTGGTCTAGTACAGGGGCTGGTTGTATGAAGCCTGGATAGCGCTATGCAGTTGATAATTCCTTATCCAGTTGGTAAGTAGATGCTGCTATCCAATAAATTTATCTACTGGATAAGATATATCCATCAGATAGTGTTATCCAGGCTTTGTTCAACCGGGCCCAGTCATCAGTCATGTAAAATCAACCTCAGCTGTGTGTCTTATGAATTGAAAATTAAAATGTCTATTGGGGCATGTCCACCATGTTGGAAGACTTCGACAAAAGATTTCAATTGGTCTTCAAACTTTTTTCACCTATGTCTTTTGTCCTTAAGGATGGTGCCTACTATTGTAGCGCGCACACTTACTGCGCATCTGCATCGAGGGATTCCCGTGGGTTTCAAAAGCAAAACACTCAAAGGTACAGAAAACGTCGACCTTGGAAAAAATTAAGAACAAGAACAACAGCAATAACTATTATTTATGTAGTCAAAGATGTATCACAGAGTAATTTTCAAGAATTCAGGTGTTTTTGGCAAAGAATCCTATGTTTTTACTTTTTAGAAAAGACAGAACTGTTTCAATTGCCTCAGATCGGTGAATAATAAAATAACTTTTTCAATATTTCCATACAGATAAGCTTAGTTTGTTTTAAAGTTAAATGAAAATTGAGATGGAATTACACATTACACCAAATGTCAGCCATTCATTTAGCTTTTCCTGTGAGTACAATTACATAAAATAAACTTTTGTTGTTGGAAGACCTCGTATTTACATAAACTGTCTTTCACTCACTCAAAAAGTATATTCAAAAACATTCATGCAAAGAGCATACTGACAAAGAAAATTATTATTTTGATTTATTAAATCTGTCTCTTGCACTTGTGAAGTTAAGCTAAGTAGGTTTGTATTTTACGAAAGTTTTTGCCTGGTTCTTGCTTTGCATGCACGACTGCCTTGAAACATTCAAAAAACCATTCTTTTTCCGACTTCAAAAAAAAATTTTACATACCATTTGCTTAAGGAAATCTTTTCTTCTACACAGCAAATAATTATTTATTATTGTTCTTCAAATTGAATAAGTTTTCTGGTACTTTGAAGGCTTGAAATATCGCTTTTTTTTCCAGTTTTCCTCCTGCTTGTAAAACCACGAAGAGATGAAGGAGCTGCTGCAAACACGCCAAAAACAGAGCGAGTCACGCTGTTTCGTAACACCGCGTCACGCTTTTAGCACCCGATTTATCCTCAAAAAAATATTTACAAAATCATAACTTTTTAAAATGCGTGGGTACCCCCCCTTTTTTCCCTCCAAAATGTAACAGATATAGTTAAATTATTTTTCATAATAGAATTTTTAAAATAAAAATGGTTTTGGATGCAAATGTAAGCAAAAACGTAGCATCCCTTTAGAACCATACTTTACACTTTTGAAGGCAAAATTTGGTGAAAAAAATGGTATCTTATTTGAAACAAGTTTCAGATAAAATCCATCAAAACAACTTTGTAAAATGATTTTTTCCCCTTGCGTAAAAAAGTGCTTACGTCATCGGTGTTTGACGTCAATTATCTCGTTTAGATGCGTGGGTCCCCTCAATTTTATTTTTCGGATTCCAGTGGCCTCTTTGGAACTGGCACAATTTGAAAAAAATTAAAATGGTTCGCAATTAGTAGGCCTCATCCTTAAATCTTCATGGAAAGGGATATATTAAAAACAATAAACTTACTTGATTTTAGTTTGCTGTGGTTGGTTTCTACCATCAGTATTATCTAATAAGCTTGAAGAACTGGAAGTTTTCCTTGTGATGTTAGGTGCATAGGTGTTTTTGGACTTGGGCACCCAAGAAGATACCATATCATCAACACTGATCCTGGACATTTCCTGGAAAAGGTTTGGACTGTATGAACCATCTGCAAGGGGTATTTCTTCCATTTCTTCATCCCGTACTGTGGAACTTATTCCACTATCTTCTGCACAACTAGCAACTGAGGAGCAAGCACTGCATTCAAACTCACTGCTTGGAGAGTCTGAATAAGCACTGTCTTTACAAGATTTTCTGTCATTCAAAGATGAATTTTCCTGGTTCCCTAGATTTACTTTGGCTAACTCAGGTTCAGTAATATCAGATGATGGAGAGCCACAAATATCAATGCCATCTTGCTCCAAATTCATCACATCGCATCCTACATCAATTTTTTTTGCATTTGAATTTTCTGTGGTTTTTCTGGTGTTACACTCTTTACAATTTTCATTGTTGAGCAATTTAGCATCTTTCGAAATACAATTCTTACTATTTCCGGTTCCCAGCAATTTCGACTCGGGACTGTCATCCTCATCACTTGATCGAACGATTTCTCTTCTTTCTGCTATTTTATCCATTTTATCTTCATGCTCGTTTAAAATTCCTTGAAGGTCGACGTTTTCGTCCTCTTCTTCGCATGTTATAGTGGAAGAGCTGCTCTTACAAGACGCGTTGTCTCTTACGCTATCGGTGACGTTACCAACCCCGCTGCTTGAGGCCGACGAAGAACTCGTGTTGCAACTACAGTCGCATTTAGTTTCTGAGTCTCCTTTGCTTACTAAACCACAAACTTCTTTTTTTTGACAAGAAATATTACATTGATTGGATTGACATTCGTTGAGTAACAGTGGGGTCGTAGCTTGGTGTTTGAATGTTATGCTCTCTTCTTCGGCCTGAATTGACCGCCCTTCGTCTTCTTCATTAGAAGACATTGAACGGTGAAATCCTTTCCGGGTTTTGCTGTTCACATACAACGACAACAACAACAGGGCCCTTTTATGTCCCTTTGTTCAGTCAACGATAAAATTACTGTAAGTAAATCAAGTCATATGTCATTCTCTAAAAGCGCCATTTTGAGCCTTTTTGCATTCTTGTGAGTTCATAAAGCGTACAGCTCTCGACCTAAAATCGTATACATGTCGGCTAAAGATCGTATCAATGTCGGACAAGTGTCGGACAGACAAGCCAAGTTGCTGCCAAAAGGCTGCCAAGGCTAGGAAGAAGGGCCGGAAGAAGGCTGTACGTACTTTCAACCTTTTTTTAGACTTTTGAACAATATAAGGAATGCAGAAAGACAGTCCTGGCGAGGTGATAAGAGGACGGAATGAGCGATATACCGCCGCTGCGCACCCTAAGCTGCTATCCCTATCTTCTGTGAAGAAAAAAGCCTCAGAGTTTGCTGCGAAAGACAACAAGAGTGCTCGTGTCGGAGCAAAGAAAGCCATTTTACAAGAGTTGAATTCACATTTAGCCATTCGAGCACAAGGACTATTCCCTAAAGAGGAAAGTGAAAATCCTTATGGAAAACAGACTACTGGTACGTTGTAAAAACAATTGAAAACTTGTTTTAATTTGTTGGCGCGAAAATCGAATTTCTTAAATTTTATTGCAAAGTAAACTTGAAACAAACCGTTTTTCAAGGAAAGTAAAGCACTCTTGACTGGGGAAAGGAAAGTCTTGAAGTGAAAATTTAAATTAGAAGCTTTAAGCGTATTACAGTAATCTAGTACAATTTCCATCTACAGTACCCTCCCCCCCCCGCCTCCCACCTTTTACCTAGGCTCGCTGTGGTCCTGCCTCACATTGTAGCAGAAACTCATAAGGGGGGGAAGGGGGTTGAAACCTGTAACAGCCATATAGCTTTTTTTATACAATATTAATCTCCTCTGAGAGTTAGGAAATTTAGAGGTGTACTATAGAAATCACCAGAGTGGTAAAACGTTTGTTGGAAGTCATGCCTCATGGTGATAGATTTATGTGCCACCTGATGAGATTTTAGTGGACCTTGTGAGATTGAAACTAGTTTCACAATGGTTGGTGTTTTTTTGAGTGATGGGCCTTAATGCTTGTTGCAGCCTTGAAAAGAAATACCGTTCTCATCAAAATTCTTCAGTTTAGTGCATGTAGTCCATATAATTGTGGCAATAGTTCAAGTTTGCATTGCTAAACTTATCTTTATAGTAATGTTGCTTGTTCATCTGCTGATCAGCAACTACATTTGCATGCTATCAAACATAATCCAGTGGTACACAAAAATATAATCACATGGTACATAAATCTGTCACCTCAATACATGCATTTCAACAATCGTTTTACCACTCGATTGTGATTTCCAAAGTATGGCCAAGAAAATATTGCATCTACCACCCACATGCTTTGAAAGCTACTACTAAAAGTATTTATTTGTGTATTTACAAAAAATGTCATTATTTGGACAAAAAAGGTACTTCATTACCCAAATGCAAGTTTCAAATCATCAACTTCGGTAAACATTCATTTTTCCATGGTTTCCACATGATCCACACCAGTAAATGTTTATTTTTTCTGTGGTTTATCCTGATGTGATAGCATTCCTGCACGTGGGTTACCTGTGTTGCAGTATGCAAAAAAAAAAAAGTGCCACTTGGTGCAAAGCAGATAGGTAGGGTAATGGGCGACAGTGTAACATACTGTAGATAGGACAATGATACTGTATGTTAATGATATACAAAGATATCAGGAATGTTAACTTGAATATTAACAAAGTTCCTTATTCCACATTAAATTTTTTACCATTATTATTATCATTATTATTATTATTATTATTATTTAATTTACCCAACTTTGTCTGCACTTTTTAACTGCATATTTTCTTCTGCTGCCATACTTTACATATGAACATAATACATTTTAAGCTTGGTATGCAGTAAACAACATGCGATATGCAAAATGCAACAAAACCTTTACCAACTTTTTTTGAAAATGCTGTATTATGTATACAAATATGTACAATTATATACAATAAGATAAAATATAAAATAAATTAGTTTCATTGTTTTTTTGTTTTGTCAGATCAAAAGGTTTTTACTCAACCCAAACGTGCTTCTCAAAAAACAAGGTACAGTTTTACTTCAATTCTTTTAATAGTATTTGTTTTGAGGTATACTGTACTTTGCTTATATGTGATATGTTTTTTTAATTGTTATTTAAAGAGCCAGAAACAACAAAGGAAAAGGTAAGGCTGTAGTACAGACGGAAAGAAGAAAGCAGACAAAAGCACAGGATTATAACTGGAACAAAGATGGAAGGGAACAGGAACTGAGAATAAGGTGAAAAATAAAAAAAGTCTAGTACTAACTTTGGATTTTAAAATATTGTTATGGATGATTAACTTCAAGTTAATAATCAATCATAAATGAATTGAAATACTTGGCTTAGTCGGTATTTTTTTAAAATGAAAAGAAACCATTCACTGTATGTAACAGAGATTAAGGGAAGGGGAAAACTGGGTGTGAAATTCAAAGATTGTTCCATCTACAGCGTAAAGGTTGTAATTGACCAGTTTGTCTTGCCGCAGGCTTGTCTTTAATAATTGCTGATTACTACATATTACATGACTTTGTATTCTTTTTCTATAACACTGATGAAATAATATTGAATACGTGATGTAATTGGTATTAATATTTCTGTTGCAGGTGCCTTGCAAGGAAATTTTTGTTCCGTTGGATGAGAAATGTTTATGGAAGAGTCCATCCACATGCCGCCAGGTGATATTTACTACACAAATGAAAATGACTAGCAGCGGATAATATGACTGGAAATGATATATGACTGGAGCTATTTAAACTTCTTCTTGTCTTGTTTTATTGACTGACTGTAATAAAAAGTGGTTGATCCTTAGATTCCATATTTAAAGGAAAACTTTTCATGGCTACTATAACAAATTGGGGGCAGCCTCAAGATGTTAAAGATTATAGAAAATGTGTGAACGTGCTGTGTGCAGTCAAAAAAGCATGAGGAGATTGACAAAACACAAGAGAAGTGTTAGGAGAAGCACGAAATATAGCAAAGTGCTTCTCGACACTTCTCAAGTATTGTGCCAATCCCTAAGTGCTTTATAACAACTGTACCCAGCACAGCAAGCAAGTTTTTTATTTCTTTTATAAAATACAAATAACATGAATGACGAAACTGAAGTGCATGCACGTGCTGTGTGCTCTCATAAAGCATGCACAACCAACCAATCAGAACACAAGATTTAGACCAGTTATTACAAAATACAGAATAATGGATCCTTTGGGGACAATGAAAAGTACATTTTTTGTTGCACTAAGTAAAGAGAACACCCATACAATGTTTTACTTAATATAAAATGTATGTTTTCAAGACAATCTAGCAATGGCCCCTTGATTATATATTCTTAAATATATGATTTATTGGCATTTAAAGCCAGCAGTCAGCCCCTTTTCTTGATTTAAATATTTCACTAGCCAGCTAATTAAAGAATTTTGCTATTGAAGCCATCTCAATCAACCCCTATCCTTTTCTTGAATCATTTATTTTAATAGTTTGCTAACTGTAGAGGTTTTGTGCTTTCTCTCTCTAGAATTCACTACAACAATAAAGTCAAGCGTGATGTTATGCAAGTATGGCAAGATATTTGGTGGTCAGGAAGAAAAGGATGGAAGCTCCACATCAGGGCTGAATATCATAACAGGTATATCTTTCATCTCTTTATATTTCCTTTTCTCTTGCTTTGTTCTTCTATTTTATGGGATCACTTGTTTTAATTTTTCCCCCATTATCTCGTCACGTTTATCTAGAAATCACTTTTGTTCAAAGAATTTTCTTTGGTTAGGTCATTATAGGGTTTTGATTAATTAGTTGATTTGCAATAGACCATTTGTGGGAATAAGAGTAAAATTTAATCGTTGTTTAACTGAGAATAAGACAAGCCTATTCCCTTTTACCAAAACATCTTTCATCTTCTTCTTTAGGTACAGAACTTGGTTGAAGGTATGGAGGGCTTGGAAGTCATACGTTTTGCAAGAAAAAGTAAAAAAAGACAAGGAAAACATGGCTGTCCAGCATGGTATGTAAACACATTGTCATTACTAACAATACTGTATACTAGATTTTTTTTGCTATTTACATAAATCCATTTGAAAGAATGCACAAATTGGTGTATTTTCCATTTCATTTGTAAAACATTTTGAAGATTTGTAAGGTTTGACAACTACTGACTTATCAACCTAGATGTACCATTTAATAGTTTCATTAGTCTCATTCTAAAGTAGAAGATGCTCAAAACCTGGCATACGCACATACAGCATGCATTGCAGTACAGTACGTGTATGTAACATGTCAATAATATGTATATTTTTCCAAATTATCAAAAGCCAAAAGAAAATTACAAGAAAAGCAATTTGTAACATGGACAAAGTACATCAAAACTAGAAGATTAAAGGCTAAGAAGGTTGAGATGGCATTACAAATTGCTGTTTCCTCTGTAAAAAGGTGGGGCAATGAATGATAATAATTATTAATATTGCTAATTCATTAGTGCTAATTGAACACACGCCCTCTTGTTGTCCAGACCTCATTAGTTGCTTTGTACCATGTTCTGATGCTCATCCACACCGCAGCTCTACAGAACGGTCAAACTGTTGAATTGCTCCATAATAATAATAGTTAGTAGTATTAGGGTGACATGGTATTTGAGTGCGAAATCAATGAATGATTGTATAACTTAGAATTTGCTGTCTTTTTGACAGGTTGGCTTTTCAGCAATGGATAAAAGAGTTGGAAAAAAGAAGAGAACACAGAGCAATGGAATATGAAGCTATGCAGTACTGGGCTTACACTCTAGTGAGAAAAGTAAGAAATGTTTCTATCTGTTTATCTAGTATCTACTGTACCCATGTGCACAGCCAGCAACACTCAAAGTTTGTAGATGTCTCAACACATTCTTCCATCCATCAACAAATATTTCTGCCTGTCCATTCACCTACCTAACCATGCATCCACCATTCTACACACCCATGCATCCACCATTCTACACACCCATGCATCCACCATTCTACACACCCATGCATCCACCATTCTACACACCCATGCATCCTCCATTCTACCCACCCATGCATCAACCATTCTACCCGCCCATGCATCCTCCATTCTACCCACCCATGCATAGATCAACCATTCTACCCACCCATGCATCCACCATCCTATACACCTATACATCCTCCATTCTACCCACCCATGCATCCACCATCCTATACACCTATACATCCTCCATTCTACCCGCCCATGCATCCACCATCCTATACACCTATACATCCACCATTCTACCCACCCATGCATCCACCATGTCTACACACCCATGCATCCACCATTCTACCTACCCATGCATACACCATTCTACCCATGACCACCCACCATTAATCAATCTATCCTTATTCCCTTCATTCTTTTCTATTCATCCATTTTCGTATTCATATGTTATTTCACATTAATATTACTTGGTCAATTAAAATGCTTGCTTTATTTTCAATTTTTCTCTGGCTGAGTGCATTTTTTATGTTCAGTAATTCATTCATTTAACTATTTTTGCTTTCTAGTTCTGGTCATTTTGGACTTCTGCTCTCTCAGTTCATTTAATAGACAAAGCTAAGCTATCACATGCTAGAAAGATAGCCAACAGAAAATTACTTGTCAAATTTTGGACAGGCTGGAAGAACTACAGAGCTTATCATAAACTGAAAGAGACTAAAAAAAGTGAGTGCTGTAAACTGAATAGGTTATTGTACTTGTTCTACTTTATAATATAATGCATTTGTTCTCCTATCCACAGGAGTAGCAGACAGACATTACTACACCACTTTGGTCACCAGGGCACTGATCACATGGAATGCAAGATTGCACAGGAGACGACAGCTTGCACAGTTTGAAGATCTTATCACATACAAGGGCATTATTGCTAGAGCCAGAAGAGCTTTGGTACATTGGAAGTTTTGTATCCTACTTGCATCCATCTTTCAAGTTGGAGTGTTTTTTTTATTGATGACATCTAACACCAAATTAGAAAATCAGAAAATGTCAGTGCCATTATGGGGGGTTTTAGAATTGCGAGCATGCCCTCATTTTCCTTGCAAATCAAGAAAGCAAATGAATGTAGACTTAACTCTAAAACTAATACTTAACCAGTTTTTTGTTTCTTTTTTGCTAAAATAATACTAAACTTACAAGCTCTACATTTTTATGTGGCAGCTAGAGATGCAGCATCATTGATATACATATTTTAAAAACCTTAACAGTGTTACAAGTTGTTACATTACAGCACCAAAAGTATGCAAAACAATCATTAGCAAATGTGCATTATGAATCCCATCTCAAAGTAAGAAAGTGTTGAAAAAAGAAATGGTTAACATGTAGAGTTTCTAGAACTGAATTGGGAACTTATCATAAATTTAGTAGGTCATTGTTTGTAGTTATGTTTCTAGTTGGCAGTTAACTTGTTATTTTGGTATTTTGGTAGTTGGAATGTGGTTGACATTTTGAATGTGATTGGTGTTGGTATGTGCATACTCGTATATTTGAAGTATGACTGGTATTTTGAATGTAATTGCCCGATTTCACTATGACGTCACTTCTTGTTTATGTGGGGGATAGAATCACCAAATCCAATAGAAAATCCAATAAAATTTGCTCCTAGGGAAACAGTTTAATCTAAAATGGCCTGGTTTTCAGATATATTATGTGTTAATATGTACTAAAAAATATTCTGAGCGTTTGCTGGCTATTCTAATTCTCTTCGTGGATTGATATGAGTTTTAGAACAATTTTTGGTGAATTTGCGTTGATTTGACCCCCTCCGACGACCATGATCCTTTGCGTTTAAACAATAGATTGTTTTGATGTGTGTGGAAATTATTATAATTTAAGCAGTTACATGTTTTTTGATTCAAAAAGAATGTCAGTTTCTAACTATGTTTTATTTATTCATTTATTCATCTTATTGAAAGGGGCACTTGGATGAAAACCCCCCAATTTTTCAAAGTCGGAATATTTGAAGTATTTGAGGATAATTTGACTCAATTATGACTATGTAAACCAGATTAGTGAAAATTTTTGCCTGGGAGCCACTTGCAGTTGAGAAATTTTGGGTTCAAAGAGAAAAGAACAATAGGGTTGAGTAAATGACGTCATTTACTCACAATTCATATGCTAAATAAAATTGATGATTTTTATCCAACACATTTTACTGTGAAGAAAATATGTTGCTTGGCTACAATTGGGGCCATATAGATACATTTAATTAAGTTTAAAGTCATTTCCAATTTTTATCCATTTTCATCCAAGTGCCCCTTTGAACCAAGTGCATTCGTAGCAACAACATTGCAGCATTAACACAACCACACCCAAGTTACTCACATAACTCTATATATGTTAGCGAGCATGTAAACTGTGTATACAAGATTTCATGGAAGATTGATCACATCCAAAATCTAAATTCACAACACTAAACATCAAAGACACACTCCAACTCCAAACTCATTTCCTAAACTTAAGTACTGCAGTGCTATATATGGAATGATGCCATCCTAAACAGTGAAAACTAGTGAGTGTATACACAGTTGGGGTGTGAGTAAATACTGTCCCAAAAATACTAAATATCAACCTGGCTTCACTATTTTATTAATAATTCATTTATCTTTATTTATTTATTTTATTTTATTTTAATTACAGAAAAGATATCTTGATGTTCTTCATTTCCAAGTAGTGCAAAGAAGACTGAAAAACATGAGAACTGAAATGTCTAAAGACTTTTGGTATAAACTGGTGAGATTGATCATGTTTTGAAAACTGTTGAAAGGACTAAACAAATTGCCTTCTGATAATAAAAGTGATAGATTGTTTTCCTATTTATAATCCAATATATAATATTGATAATTGATTTATTATGATAAGGTTGACATTTTTTTTGTTAGCAACTTAAAAGAATGTGGAGAATATGGCTGAAACAATGTGAACATTCAGAAGAACTGAAGATATACCCACTGACAAGAAAAGCAAGAAGTCACTACAGGTATTGTATGCTTCCAGATAACCAAATTATACCAATGTTCAGTCTTTACCGACGTTTGCATTGCTACGCTGCCACCCCAGACAAAAATCGCGACGTGCACTTTGCAATAGACTGCCGTCAATCAAACAAGTTGACGTCATTTACACGCGTTTGGATCGGCCCGGATAGGCCTGGTGAGTGTGGCTCATAATACTTGTAAACAATTGACTGAAGTTTTGGCACCTTTTGAATCACAAACACGTGTAAATGGCATCAGCGTGTTTGATTGATGGCATTCTATTGCAAAGTGCACGTCGTGATTTTTGTCTGGGGTGGCCGCGTAGCAATGCAATCGCTGGTAAATAAATGGTAATCTCAACTACTCCCTGTGAGGGGATTGATGTTGGACCCCACTACCCTCTGTGAGGAGATTAATGTTGGATCCTACTACCCCCTGTGAGGGGAATGATGTTGGACCCTACTACCCCCTGTGAGGGGATTGATGTTGGACCACACTACCCCCTGTGAGGCGATTGATGTTGGACCCCACTACCCTCTGTGAGGGGATTGATGTTCAACCCCTATACTCCCTGTGAGGGGATTGATGTTGGACCCTACTACCCCCTGTGAGGGGATTGATGTTGGGCCACACTACCCCCTGTGAGGGGATTGATGTTGGACCACACTACCCTCTGTGAGGGGATTGATGTTGGACCCCACTACCCTCTGTGAACGAATTGATGTTGGACCCCACTACCCTCTGTGAGGGGATTGATGTTGGACCCCACTACCCTCTGTGAGGGGATTGATGTTGGACCCCACTACCCTCTGTGAGGGGATTGATGTTCAACCCCTATACTCCCTGTGAGGGGATTAATGTTGGACCCCAATACCCTCTGTGAACGAATTGATGTTGGACTTCACTACCCTCTGTGAGGGGATTAATGTTGGACCCCACTACCCTCTGTGAGGGGATTAATGTTTGACTGTGAGAAACCATGTAGTACAATTGTTTACCTTTTATTACATCAGGTTCAAATTACTTCAAAAAGTTATTCACTCCTGGCAAGAGTACTGTAGTTGGAGACAACACAGACAACACAAATATTATGAGGCAGACAAACATTACAGATACCATGCCTTACCAAGGTAACAATGCATGTTATGATGCTGTGTGGTAGTAGTATTATCATAAGGCCAATATCAGAGATATCATGCCTTTAATATATTTTATTTATCATGTCAAATTCACACATCATGAATTGATGAATGTACATGTATATGAAACAATCCTAATAGTAAATTGAAAACCTAGCCATGATTTGACCAACGTGTGTATTCCTTATTGAGTTTTTTTATTACTGTATCTACTTTCTTGGCAGATATTTTAGAAGAATAGTGGTATTTGTGAGAATGACGAAGGATATGAAAGAATGCCAGCTGAAAGCAGATCAATTTAGAAGGTGGTGTATTTAGTATTTTATTATTAAACAAATGTTTTCTTGGCTTGTTTAACTAGTGCCCAACAAACAGAAGAGATCAACAGAAAGCTAACTAGAAGCAAATTATTATCATAATGTTTTCAGGGAAGTGTTATTGGCACAGACATTTTACAAGTGGCACCATGAATACCAGCTTACCCTTGATCTACAAATGATGAATAGAATGGTAAGATTTTAGTGTCACTTCATGATGGAGAGGGAATAGGGTGTGCTGCTAAAATCTTTTTAAGGTGGCTGATGTTTGATTTGAGTCCACAATGTGCATGTACTTAAAAACTGCTGAATAATTTTCATGATTTCATTAAAGAACCATACACATTTTGAGCTTCAAGAGGGCGAAACCCTCAAATTTGATCTTTTCAAATCTCTGAGCTCTGTTTCATTTGTAAAATATCAATCATTACACTCAGCATGGCGTAAAGTACCACGTGCTGACCTGTGAGATCCAATCAATAATTATGGCTCAATCAAAGAAACAGCAAAGTGGTGCAGAGTTTCTCTCATGATAACAAAACCTAGGACCAAGACCAAGAACCTCCTATGAAACCAAAGTTAAGGATTTTCTTGGCTAGGGGATAAAAGATATTTTTTAGACCACATCTTGCTTTCTACTCACTGTGGTAACAGTCATTGGCTAACATTTAGAGTATCCAAAATAAATAAATAAATACTAAATACATTCAAAAGCAGGAAGAAAAAGCCTTCAATTTATTATGCACATCATTTATTGGATTGTCCTATACTTTAGGCTATTCTACATCATGATGAAGTTACCAAAAGACACTATATTGCAATCTGGTTGAAAAGGACAAGAAAACAGCTCCAGGAACATCAGTTTCAGGTACACACCCTCCCCCTTACATGTATTAATCTCTTTATCCATCCTCCCCCTCACATGTAAGCTCTTTATCCACCCTCCCCCTCACATGTAAATCTCTTGATCCACCCTCCCCCTCACATGTAAAGCTCTTTACCTACCCTCCCCCTCACATGTAAGCTCTTTATCCACCCTTCCCCTCACATGTAAATCTCTTGATCCAACCTCCCCCTCACATGTAAATCTCTTGATCCACCCTCCCCCTCACATGTAAATCTCTTGATCCACCCT